GGCTTATATCTAGGATCCTATTAGGTAATCCCAAAAAGGAACTACTGTGGGGCCTATGGGTGATCATATCTCAACCCCGGATTAGACAGGTCCATTGGTGGGAAGACATGGAGTGCGAAAAGGTGGAGGCGGCCGGGGCATGCGGCAGCATTAGCAACAACATCTACTACGAATTACAATCGTACTACTTACAGTGATGGCTGTCGTAATCCGTGTTATATATGGTAAGAACAGCTCTATCTACGATTAGTAACACTACTACGCAATCTGTTGCTAAGACTACTACTACTACTACTACTACTACTACTACTACTACTAATACTACTACCACTCCTGCTGCTGCTGCTGCTACTACTACTACTACTACTCCTCTACTACTACGACTACTGCTCCTGCTACTGCGACTACTGCGGTTACTGCTACTGCTACTGCTACTCTGCCACTACCACTACCACTATACCTGCATCACCACCACTACTCTCTACCACTATGCCGAAAACCCTTATCATAAGCCTGGTCCCCAAGCAGTGCAGTCCGAAGCCATTAATTTACACCCCCTAAACCACCAGAGCTGAAAGCCAGCTGAGCCTTCGGTTCTGGCTGCAGGTGATGCCAATGCCAACCCCAAACCCGAACCCTGATGACCCGAAACCCCTAAACCCTGAACCCTGAGGTTCTTGCCCCAATGCCAACCCTACCTTCTGAGCTGTAAGCTCTAAGTCCTAAAACCCCCCAAAGATGGCCCTAAACCCAAGTCTTCAATGCCGTGTGAAACCTAAAACCCTAAACCCTAAACCCTAAACCGCTCCAGGTGGCAGACTTAAACAGCTACATCGTCGACAGCATCTTGGAGAGAGAAGCTTCTTGGTTGCGGTTTAGGGTTAAGGCTTCAGAAGGGTTTCGGGTTCAGGGTTTAGGCTTCAGAAGGGTTTAGGGTTTAGGGTTTAGGGTTAAGGCTTCAGAAGGGTTTAGGGTTTAGGGTTTAGGCTTCAGAAATATGTTCGCCAGGCTTTGCGGTAGAAGTGAGAAAGCTGGAACATTCCCTCAGGGTCCATGTGCTGATGTAGTATACTTTGGCCTGAAAGCACCCATATAATAGGGAGTACCTTAAGACCATTTTCTTTACATTTTGGTACATGGACACTTAGGGGTTAGTCTCCTTAACCTTACTCCAGAACACTCGCAAACGCAGTATAGTACGCCTTCACCCCCTGTACCCCTACAGCACAGACTCAGGTCTTAATGTAGCAGCTATATATGTACCTTCGGGCCAAAGTATATACGTGTATCGCACATGGACCCTTGTAATTCCCTTAAATATAGAACCCTAAACACTAAACCCGAAGCACCCTTTAAAGGTACATGGACCCTGAGGGAATGCCGAAGTCCCGTGAGACTCCTATAAAAACTCTGAGAAACTCCTGGGTTGAGCGGTTTAAGAAAGGGGCCTTAATATTTACCTATACTATTTTGAGGGCTCAGAAGAAGCCGCAAAGGGCCGATAGCTGTGAACCCAGCACGTACTCGTGCGATTTCAGGGGTTCGAGCGGCACGGAGTGCCAGAGCTCCCCCTCGTGGCATCGCCGCCGGCGCCATAGGCGGTCGAGTGCCTGCAAAGCCCTCCGCGGCGGACGGGGCCTTTCTGCCAGGCAACGGTGGCGGTTGACCAGCCGCCACGGTACCGCTCCGGAGCAATCACGACGTCTTCTCAGAGGCGTAGGTGCCATGGGCAGAGGAGGCAAGAAGCCGTGGAAGGAGGATGGAAGGGAGTGGCATTTGTGGCGTGGTGCGTCCTCGCCACAGTTGAGGGCCGACACGTCGCAGAGACCATGGCGAAACCAGCAGCAACAGTCGCGGCCTGCCGCACAGACGGCGGGATTTCCCTCCTACACGACCATGAGGTTGCCTGCTGCGGAGGTACAGACGCCTGCGGCAAGGGCGGCCCCGACTCAGCCACAAGGACGGGTTCAAGGCATCCAGAGCCTTTTGAACCTTGCGAGAAAGGCGGAGCTCAAGCACATGAAGTTGCAGAAAGCCAGCGTGCGAACTGCCACACAATGGCAGGTCTTTCTTCAAGGACTCAAGGAGTCCTTTTGGGCAGGACGGTGTTCCTCCCTCGATCTGTCGGAGGTTTGCCTGCCAACTCTCGGTACTGTTTTGGCCTATCATACTCAAGTCGATGATACACACTTCGGAGCCAATCGGCCTGAAAGGGGGTGTACTTTTCCACATCGACAAACCGGGAGTCGCCGACAAATTGTCTTGTCAGTCGCAGAGAGGCATTCTTGCTCAATCGGTTTTCGAGAAGGTGCTTCACAAGAGCCTGCGGCGCCTCGTGATGCAGGAGGTTGCCGACAAAGCCCCCCCACTACAGGTGGGGGGTCGGAAGGGATTGTCGCACGTCTTCGGTTTCTTCTGCAGTCGCACGTTTCTCCTCTACGCGCGGCAATGCGCCATCCCGGCTGGCAATCTTGTTCACGGACCTGGTTGCAGCGTATTACTCAGTAATACGCGAAGCCATAGTAGGAAGCCAGCTAGGCACCGGTTCACTGCAGGAGGTTGTAGAGTCTCTTGGCATGACGCAGGCGGACTTGCAAATGCTGCAGTCCTTTGTGGAGGATGACCCGGTCATCTCTTCTGAGGGAGGCGCCAGCTTACTGCATGCTTTGACTCGTGAATTTCATTGCAACACGTGGTTTGTCTTGCAAGACGACCACGAAATTGTGATGACGAGGCGAGGCACCCGACCGGGGGGATGCCTCGCAGACGCCATGTTCTCCTTGCTGTTCAATCGCGTGTTGACACGCCGAGGCTCGTTCCGCGAAAACGGGTGGGCGCCCAAGATACCGTGGAGTGGCAAGCGGGATCTGGTTGAATGCAGCGACTTTGAGAACGCCCCTCTACAGGTCGATGCGCAGGATATTATTTACGCGGACGATCTTGCGACATGCATAGTCACGTCTGAGGCAGCCTCCCTCCCGCGTGCGGTTGCCCATATCGCAGGTGAGGCTTTGGACTCCTTGGCAGAGTTCGGATTGTCGGCCAACTTGGGGCCGCGTAAGACGGCCGTGTTGCTTTGTCCGGCCGGCGTCGGAGCCAAAAGCGTACGCGAGCAAGTTTTCTTTCGAAATAAAGGCAAGCTTATGGTGCTTCGTGAGAACGCAGTTACTTTGGACTCGGTTTCTTCCTACAAGCACCTCGGCTCCTGTCTTACGCATAACAGCTCGATGCTGGCCGAGATCAGAGCGAAGATGGGTGTTGCAAAGGCTGCCTTTCACGAGGGGCAGCGGTTGATCTTCTGTTCTGGCCAGATTTGCCTCCGTCGGCGAACCTCTTTGTTCCGTACTCACGTGTTGGCGGGGCTGCTGACCGGGGCTGGTGCATGGCCCTTGCTGTGTGAGTCCAGTTGGAAGATTTTCGAGCAGGGAATCTACAACATGTACAGGAGGCTTCTCCGAGTGCCAAGACAGGCAAGCCAGAAGATCAGTCGATGGCGCATCCTAAGCTATCTGGACATGCCGTCGCCGCAGGATCTAGTCCACACCGAGAGGCTCCGATTCCTCGGCCAGTTGGTCCGATCCGGCCCCGATGCCGCCTGGGCTCTGTTGCAGTGCTCTCCCCGCGCTCTATATACAGGGCCTATGGAACGCTGTTGCTTGGTTCGAACAGGCCGTGGGCCCGCACGGCCCTGTCCTTGACAACTGGGACAGTTGGACCTCTCTGATCCGTCAACACCCCGGTCAATGGAAGGGATACATCAAGCGTGCGGGCACGTGGCACTTGAATCAGGCAAAGGCTGAGGCGGATTTCTTCGGGTGCGTGCGTGCTTGCTGGCAGCCTGTCCCACCCCGTGCGGTCGCGGTTGCAGCTTCGGAGCATTGTTGTGTACCCTGTAAGATTGCCTTCGCTGATTTTCAGTCTTGGGCGGCGCATGCTGCCAAGGCGCACAAGTACAGGTCCCGTGCCAGCCGTGTGGCAAAAGGACTTCACTGCCGCGCATGTGGCGCAGTTTACTCGCGACATGTTAGGTTGGTCCGTCATCTTCAGATGTTCCCGCGCTGTTGCCAGGCTGTTGCGCATGACGTTGAGGGACTTCTGCCGCCGCTGATTGCTCCTGACGGGCCCGTTCAGAGCCACGGCTTGGCGGGCTATCGCATGCCCGATTTTCCCGACCTTCCGCCCCCTGAGGACGACTTCTGTCCGGCACTGCTTGCGGCTTTGCATGAGGCGGAGGTCAGGTCAGATTCTGAGGTCTTCGCTCTCGTTCAGGGTGTGATTGAGCCCTTCCCGCTCCTTCGTCAAACGGTTCGTACTTGGGCGCAACAGACGACCGACCCCCAACGTCGAGCATGGGGAGAAGATGTGCTTCTCTGTATGCAGGTTGACCTCCTGTGCGACCGCGTTTCGAATGCGGCCCGTGTTGATGACGAGGATGCTGCTATGTGCTTTACCCCTATGATCGAGGGTTGCTCCTTGAATCCGATGGCACCCCCCTTGCCCTCCCTCGTTGTGGGGCGTGTGCCGGAGGCGAAGGTCAATGGGTACCGTCCGCTCTCTTCGCCAACGTGGATTCGGAAGGGTTTTGAAACGGAGGAATGCGATTTAGGGTGCTTTGCGTGCGTTGTAGTGGACTTCCCACTGCCTTGCGCCGCGTGCTCCCCTTTCTGGCGGGCCATGAGTTGCCCCTTGCGACAGCAGCGCAAACACCTGACATGGGTTAGATTTGCCCTGACTTGGATTCAGGCTGCGATGGCTTTCGCTCGTACCGGTCGGCTTTGCGTCCTCCTTTGCCCCTTCCCTAAGAGCCGAGGGGACCCTTTACTGGAGTGGCTGGAGCAAACGGCGAATCTGCCCGGCTCGTCGCTCCGTCTTTGTTTCACCTGAATTCATTTTGCTTGCGGTACGTTCGTCTCGAACTTTGCACCGTCCGAATAAATATACTATTTTGGGGGGGCTCCTTATTATAGTTATAGTATAATGGGCACCAAAACCCTTTTCTATTTATTATAAGGCCCCTACATTACGGGTTTATGGGTTTAGTGTTTAGGGGTTTACGGTTTAGGAGGGTTAAGGGGTTTAGGGGTTTAGGGACTTTGGCTTTCCAGGGATTTAGAGAAACCAAGGTTCAGGCCCTAAACCCTAAACCCTAAAACCCTAAACCCTAAACCCTAAAGGCTCTATAGGGATCTAAGGAATCCAAGGTTTAGGCTTTAGGGGTTTAAATTAGGGTTTAGGTTAGGAACGCAGGCTTTATAGAGATCTAGGGAATCTAGGGTTTGGGATTTGGGAGGGTCATCATATACTAGGGCGTAGTTCTTATGTCAAAGTTTCGGATGGAGGTTTTCAGGTTAATGGTTTAGGGGTTTCGGGTTTCGAGTTTTATGGGTGAGGGGTAGGGTAGGGGTTCCTAAACCCTAAACCCTAAACCCTAAACCCTGAACCCTTGCACGTGTAGGGTTCACGGTGTCTTTGTTGCGCGGCTCTCCATGTAGCCGGCCGACATCCTAGATCCGAGCATCTTTTAGGGTTTAGGGTTTAGCGTTTAGGGTTTAGGGGTTTAGGGGTTTAGGGTTTAGGGTTTAGGGGTTAAGCCTGACATACCATGCCGAGAAGCACGAAACCTTCGTTTCTTTGTTGCAGAAGCTTTAAGTAGGTGATTTGAAGACCCATCATCCTCTAATCCTTACATTCCCACATCTCGACGCTAAACCAGGTACACCCCAAAACTTACCCGTCTCGGGGGCGAGGCGCCCCTAAACCCTAAACCCTAAACCCTAAACCCTAAACCCTAAACCCCTACACCCTAAACCCCTAAACCCAAAACCCCTAAACCAAAAACCCCTAAACCCTAAATCCCTAAACCCTAAACCCCTGAACCCCTAAACCGTAAACCCTAAACCCCAAACCTCTAAACCCCAAACCCCTAAACCCTAAACCCCTAAACCCTAAACCCTAAACCCCTAAACCCCTAAACCCCTAAACCCTAACAAAGACCCAGGCTGAAGCTTGATCCGACAATAGCCCGCCACCTTGAAAGCCCGAAGTAGAGCTGCATACCGGGAGACGCACATACGTTTGATGATATTAATCCTGCATTGCACACAATAAGGAATATACCATAATTCCCATAGTTTAGGGTCCCTAGATGAATGCAGGATTTATATCATCAACGGTATCCTGTATAGCTCTCATGAGTTCTGCGGTTCCTACACGAGGCGTATGCGCCCATACTACACCTTGTGAGGCCTCAATAGGCACATCTAGTCGGCACGTGTTTCCACGGTGCTCTGCGGAAAGAGCGTGCTCCCAAGCCTGAAACCCGAGACTAAACCCTAAACCCTAATCCGTAAATCCATCCTAGTCCCCGAAATCCTCTTGAGTGAGCTGCCTTACTCATGCAGATCGGCAGGCGGGCTTTCTTCAGCGAATCGTAGCAATCCAGGCGGCCAGAGACTTCAAAAATCCTGGCCTGGAAGGAGCTTCGGTGATCTCAGAGAAGCCTTTCACCGCGTTCTTCTCCCTCTCGTTTTCTGCCAAAAGCGGGGGGTGGAGCTTGGGGGGGCATGGATGAGCTGGACTTCGCTGGGATTGTCAGGCGACTGAACTGCTTCGCGAATCCATCCACGGACTGAATGCAGCCTGCCTGGCCCAAACAAGCCATAAATAATGATGTTCTCTCCTAGTCCTCAACACAGTATACTGTATCATGCTCGAACATAAAACACTAAACTATATCATACCCCCACACCTACGACACTACATTGCATCACACCCCCCGAATCTAATTTCTAGTGCCACTATATATATATATATAT